GTTTTCTCATTGCAATCAGAGCAGATGAAAGCAGGAGAGGGCCAAGAGCAGGTCTTGACTCCTATGGAAAAAACCTCCCTGGGCCCTGTTTCTTCTGACACCATCAGTGTGCTGTTTTCTTCTGCCCCTCTCTAAGACTGTAGTTGCCTTGGCTCTCCTAAAAACTTCCTGGGTGACCTCACTACACATCACATGCACTGAGATGACTCCTAAACCTGTATCCCCAGTTCAGAGCTCCCAGGGCTGGAACCACATTTCCTCCTATAAGAGACACATTCACTTACACAATGTCTGACAATCAAACCCAAACACAAAACTCAGATCCCACAAAATTTGTATTTCCTGTTAATAGTACAAAAACTGCCACCCAAGACGAACCAAAACAAACCAAAACACCTAAATGCCATCAATTACCTTCTCTTTCTCTTACAGATCATGAGTATCGTTTAAAAAACCATCATATAAATCTGAACTCAAATCCATTACTCTTCCGTCTCCTATACCAGCATCCAAACTTACATCAATTCTCACCCTGATTAGTCACTATATTCTAACCATTCTATATTACCTACCCTAAACCAAGGAAAACTCCCTCCTAAAATTCTTGACTTCAGAAAAAACCAAATTCCTTCATGCCAAGATACAAGATCTGCCATCTTGTCGCTCCCTGCTCTCCACTGTCAGCTCTTCCAGGCTTGCTGCTTGGGACCTGGGAGGGAGATGCATGCCCACCAAGCCTCATCAAGGCTTCTCCAGTCCCTAGGATCCTGGGTGCTTGCATACACTAGTCCCACAACTTAAGATCTCTTTTCCTACCTTGTCCATCTAATAACCAATCTGCATAAAACACTAACAACAACACCCCCCCCCATCAAAACTCCAGTTACTGACTCTTCCTGTTAAACTCCACTGACTCTTCCCCAGTGGACCACCTTGCCCCATCCCTATTAAAGACAGCTGAATACTTCTATATCTGTTATGGCACTTACCAAACTATGATGATTACAAGTGTCTTTTCTTGACTGAATTACATGCACTTGATCATGTACTTTCTCTTCCTCAGGCCTGCTTTCAAGACCCCAGCACGTCGGAGCTGGCACTCTATCACCATCTAATACTGGGATGTACTAAGCTGTTCCTTTACAATGGGATCCTAGCATTTGTTTCAAAATGCCTAAAGCCATCCCAGAATCCTGATTCTTGGCTTGGGGGAGACAAAGAGAGGCCTTGAATAAAAGAGGGATTCATTACTGCAGATCTAACGCATTTAACTTCCAGAAGAATCCACAGAAATAGTAAGACTAGATGACAAAAGATTTCTATAAATTATGCTATTTATAATGCCAAAGAATCTTAAAAATTGTAAATAACTAATGTGGAACTTAGGGATTCTTATAAAAACAGTAATTTTAAGAAAACTGTTCATCATTCCAAGCACATGTTATATCATGACTGGCACCATAAAACAATGTAAGTCAGAAAGATTCATTTCAAAACATTTACAATGACTGGGGGGGAATCTACATTATTAGCCATATTTACTATATCCAGGCAATTTACTACCACGAATATCATTAAGCAATTATTTCCTAAGAATCTGTCTGTTTGCTATAGTACAGATGTCTTGGAACTAAACATGTCACACTTAGATAATCAAAGAGTTAACAAGAGTTTAATAAAAGTATCTCCTATTCCAAATTCACATCCTTTATAAAAGGTGAAAATATCTTAGAATGTCTCTGGAAGCTAAACTGGAAACAATTTTGGTTCAAAATGGTAGAATGGCTTCTGATGCTGGTTGTGAGCCATGATGATGATCCGACAACGGCTCTGTGCACCCAAATCATCTGTGGACAGAGTTGGGAGATACTTTATCTTCAGAGTTCCCCTTCCTGCTAGCAAGTGTTCAATTTTACAAACAGGACCTGCCTGGCTGGAACCTTCATCCATCATCCATTTTTTCTCTTTGTGTTTGCCCCCACCACCACTTCCTACTCTGGCCTCAAAGATTTCCTGCATTTATCTGAATCTTTGCAATCCTCCTCTTTCAGGCAGAGAAAGACATTTAAGACAAGCTCCTGTTGGGGAGCTCTAGGAAAGTCAGGAGGTTTCAACAAACCCTGTGTGTTAGCAGGGTGGGAAGACAATTCACAAAGAATCTCAAGGCTTTTTAAAGTTATTACTTCAGAATGCAGATCAGGTATAAAAAGAACCTAGGATGAGTAAGTGGTGGAAGAGACTATATTATTTTTCACTGTGATTATTTTAATAGTATCATGAATGAAAAACACTTTTAGAGCTCCCTAGGATTTTCAGTTTCTTAAAAATACACAATCATAATACAATCACTCTGCCTTAAAATCTTCCACAGTTTCATGTTCTAGGCATATGAGGGAGTAAGTATAAACTCACAAAATTCCACAGGGCTTAGATCACAGACAATAAATATGCTATGAAACAGCTTTTCAGGAATGTTTTTCCCAGGGAATTCAAGTTATGGAAATTTGTAATGAAAACAGACATGTAGTTATCATGAAGAGAGTGCAGGATTACACAGAGAATTACATACACACTGTTGTGGGGTCAAAACTAAGTGCTCAGACAATTAGGTGACAGATTCACCTAGAGTCATTTATTGGGTTGTCTAACTTTAGGAATCATGTACTCTGTGCCCAGCCTAATCCTGGGTGTTAAGATATACCCAAACATGGGGGCGGGGTGTTCCTGTCTGTGTGAAGTATTTTATTGGATCAACACAGACAAATAAAAGAAGTAAAACTTTGTGTCTGGCAGTAGTAAGTACAAAGATGGTCAGGTATTTTGAAAGGAAGGAAGCAAGACACTTACTGTCTGGGGAAAGATACTGAGCAGAGGAAGCAGCCAGAACAAAGACTCCAAAGTGGGAAGATGTTTATTGTTTAAGGAACAGGGGCAAGCCAGTATGGTCAGAGCAGAAATGGGGAGGAGAGTGGTGGGTGAGGTCAGAGGTCAATGTGAGGGGCTTACTAGTAGGGAGTAATGCTTTCCTAGACAGCAAAGCTGGCAACAGGTGGAGAATGGGGGAGGGAGGTGATCTGCAGTAATTACAACAAAACCAAACCCAAGAAGCACACAATAGTGTCTAAAGGCTGTTTGGGACTTGGAGACTGGCCTACTGTGTGAGGAGAATACATTTGATGGGAGCGGGGCTGGGAAAGGTGGGGGGTGATAAGTATTTGGGCTCTGACTGTTGAGTTGCAGGCCGGGCAGCAGCTGGAGAAGCAGGCAGTCAGCTGTCCTTTTAACACAAACTTTGCTGGCCCCTTTCCCCCAACAAGAACACAATCCTTCCAGAGAGCTGCTCTGGTTGTTAACTCTGTAAAGAAAAATGTGGAGGTCTTGGCAAGATCCTTGTGTAGAAAATATTCCCTTTAAATTTTCTGTAGTGGGGGGGAGGGGTGAAGCAAGAACTAGAATTTAGAGTATTGTATAATTACCAAGAACGGAACGGAACTGGTTTAACTCACAGTGAATCATAAGACAAAGATGATTTAGAATGGGACCCAGAAACAAACCAGAGTTTTCTGTTTCTTAAAGAGCAAGTGTTTCCTAAATGCCCAGATAGCCCAGTATACACTAACTGCCCTAATTTACATAAGGAAGGAGATTCCACAGTAATTGTGCACTTTGCATCAAAGCTATTCAAGGCCAGAGTCAGCACTGTGCTCGATGTTGGGACAGGCCAACAACTAGAACAGTGTCTGGTTAGACTCAGTGTCTGTTTTGGGGGTTAAAAAAAAACATATCCAGAGAGCCCTCACCTCAGAATCAGTGCTAGGGATCCTGATACCACCCCCCAAGGAACTATTAACAAAATTACTTAGAAACAAGGACAGGAAAAGAGATGTTTTCCTTGCACAGGACTACCTGTGCAGGTCAACATACTCATGAAATAATGCCATGTGGGCTATATGGAGTTCACTTTTTGGAACAGACTGATACATAGGTCAGAATAACAAGATACTGGAAAAGGAAGCTTTTTCTTAATAACCATAAGGAACTGCTGTAATTCCACCCTTTTGGGACAAAGAACAAAAGCCATAAGGGAATCTTGGACAGTCTTGCTCTTCTGAACCCTTCAAAAAAAACAAAGCTGACTTAAATTGGTGTGGTTTGCAATGGCATGGTTTTCTGTTGTGTTTTTGTAATGGCAAATTACAAGTTTATTATTTATCTTAACATAAGAGCGCACTAAAATGACTGCAGTTCTTATCCACTCAGGACTATGGAATGCTATACATCCCAAAGAGAGGAATTACTGGAGTATATTTCTTATTATAAACCAGGCACAAATGCTTAAACTTCTGCCAGATGAAAAACATCTTTCTCTAAATTTGTTTAAATTTAATTACACTTTACTTATTTACAGGGTTTGTGTGTGAGTGTTGGGGGCGGGGGTGGGCATGCCTGTAGAGGACTACTTGCTTCCGCCAGGAGAATCCAGGGACAACTGGGATCTGAAGGCTTGGCAACAAGCGCCTTTACCTGCTGAGCTATCTCACCAGTTTCTAAAAACATCTTCCTACAGGCCGTCGTGTTTACACTCACATATCACTTTACTCCAGTACCAGACTGCTTACAGTTCACAACTCATAGCCAGGATACGCATAGCTTTTTAACGCCAAGTTCGTCCATAACAATAATTTAGAACACAAGTGTCTGGATTTGCAATGTTCTCTCCTCCCCTACCGCCTTCCGCGAGGCATTTTTTTTTTCCACGCTAACAGCAGAACATCCTTCAAAGAAACTTCGATACCAAACGTACGCCTTAAAAACCACAAAAAAGCTCAGCTGTGGTTTGGAAGGCGCGGTTAGCCGTGCCCGTGGGCAGCATCAGAACCGGTGGGGAACCCTGGGTGCTCGGAACGGTGCCGCGGCATCCGGGCCGCTTCCTGGCCGGACGCTGCGGTCCGGCGCATCCCCGGGGCGCCCCACGCTCGCAGGCCGGGCCCGGGCCTCACCTTGTACACATCCCCGTAGGTGCCGCTGCCGACCCTCTGCACCAGCTCGTAGTCGTGCTGCGGGTTCCGCCTCAGGATGTCGGCGGCAGGCCGCAGCGGGGCCTCCATCTTCGCTGCGCCCAGCCCGGGGCTCTGCCCGCAGCGCCCGGATCCCGCTAACGAGGGCGCGCGGCGCTTCCCAACATGGAGCCTCCGCGGCGCGCAGCTGCGCCTGCACCCGCGAGAGCGAGCGCGGGGGCGTCACGGGCCGCGACCCCGGCGGCCTCCGGGCCTCCCCGGCCCCGCCAGGCCCCGAGCCGTCCGCACCCGAGGGGCCGCCCGTTCCCTGCCGAGCGAGCGCCGCGTCGGGAGATCCGCGTCCTCTCGGAGACGGCTGTGCGCGGTCGTCCACGCCGCCGCCACCGCACCACGTTCCCCACCCGCGGCTGCGTCACCGGGAGACACGTTCGCGGCCGCCGTGGATCGAGCCGGCCCGCCCGAGAGCGCAGGCCGCGGGCCCAGAGTGCCGCCCTGAGGCCCGCTGAGCGCACGACACCCTCGCCGCCGTCGCGCCCCGCCTCCCAGCGGCTTGCGGGGCGCTCGGGGCTTCGGACCCGCCCAGGCCTGGCCGGGATTCGTCCGGTTGCCAGAGGGCCGAGAGGAGGAGGGCCTGCACGGAGGCCGCCAAGGGAGCGCTGTCCTCCTAGTGCCACATGGTCAAGGTAAACTGAGGCCGCCCGGGAAGAAGGTGGGGGAGTGCCGGCTTAACTAAACGCCGGCACACCCGACTGCACCTTCCTGTTTTACAGACTGTTCTTCCCGGTGGTACCAGTTCTGAGGCTGGACCGCACACCTGCACAACCTGTCTTCCACCCGGGTTTCCCGAGCCACTTCTGAAAACCCCCACTTCCTACGAAGTTCCAGTGGTCTCTGAACACAGCCGCAGTATTGCAACTTTAAACGGTCCAGGAGTTCTGGAGATGCTAAGACAAAGCTAAGGGACCTTGGTCTGGTTTTGGCTCCAGCACTTCCAAAGGAGGTGATCAGGGACAAGGCATACTTTGCAACATCTCGGTGTCCTTATCTGTAGTTGGAAGAGGATAAGGTTTTTGCATTTGACACCCGAGAAATGCTTGTAAAGCTTTTTTTTTTTTTTTTTTTTTTTTTTTTTTATAAACAGGGTTGTAAAGAGGATTATCAATTGTAAGAGGTTTTGAGCCGTTTAGCAATACACAGACTATTGAGCAGGAATCAAGAGAAGCGATTTACCTTGTTCTGAAGGTAGAAAGCAAGTTACCATCTTTAGGTAGATTGGTAAAATTATTTCTAGAATCCTGCAGAGATTTTCCAGCAGAAACACCAGATTAAGGACTGGAAAGATAGCTCAGTGGTTAAGAACACCAGCTACTCTACAGAGGACCTGGGTTGATTTGCAGCTCCTGCATGGCTGCTAACAACTATAAGTCTGAGTTTTCTTGGCCTCTCTGTAGGCATGGGGCGTGGGCATGGTGCACAGACATTCATGCAGGCAAAACAAAATTAAATAAAAATTAGGAAAACCAGGTTAATACATGCTACTGTCTGTTTAGTGACTGAAAATTACAACAAAACAAGTTTCAGACAACATGTGGCTCCAGATACAATCCAATTCTGTTTTGAGAAATGCACTTCTTACAGTCAATAAGTGAAGAAATCAAATTAACACCTAACAGAACAGGGAATGTATGCATTTTCTTGTGTTCCCTACACAAAGGGCACTTATTTAGGGAACATAAGAAAAGCCCAGACTTACATGCTCCAGGGACAAAGCCTGTGTGTGTGCTGCCTTGAAAAAAGGACTTGCTGAGGAACAGTTCTGTCTTTCAAAGCTTCTTGGCACTTGTTTTAGTGGGCACATACTTTTGGCTTCGATGACTCAAAATCTCTTCAAATGTTCTATTGGTATCTTAGTACTTGTTTTCTATCATGGATGTATGTTGGCCTTGCAGTCAAACCCACCCTTACTCACTCTGGGACTAGAGCCATTGTCAAGCATTCATGGGTGAGGGCCCTCCACCAGACTGTCCCCAGAATAGTCAGGTAAACTTGGAGGGTGGGCATTGTACGATGGGAAAGCACCCTTCCACCCTTGGGGTCAAAAGGGAGCATTGATCCTTTCTCTAACAGGAAAGGTATTTGCTTTGATTATGTCTGCATAATCCCTTAGAGAGTTCCAGTCAACTCACACAGAATACTTATTTTTACACAAGATAAAAATAAGTGAGAGGAAACTGCATGGAATTTTAAAAGGGGGGAAAACAGGAAACCAGAACAATGCAACAAAAAAAAAAAAAAAAAAAAAAAAAAAAAAGTAGATTTGCCGGTGGGTTTTGTTTGTTTTTGCAATAGATGAACAAATTGATCAAGAGAGGCAGATCTTTCCCTGATGCTAACACCTCAGAAAATTTCCCTCCTGAGCCTTCACAAAGTGGAAACTCCAACTCAGTTTTGAGACAAGGATAAATATCCTGTGAAAACCCTTTAGGTGAAGTATTTTTGAAACACAGTATTTGAAATAAATTAGGTAATAAAAAGCTTGAAGTCACAAGTGAAGATATTTTATGTTGCCAGTAATGGCAGATCCATATGCCTTGACCATCAACCAAGAAATGGGTAGCACTGAAAGCCAAGATCCTGCCTGGTGGTTAAAAATAGTGTCTGCAATAATCATTATTTTACTTGTACCAGAGATGATGCAAACAGGAAAACATTTGCTTTATACTAACTCCAAAAGAATTTTAAAGATTTTTTTTTTCAGAACTAGCTGAGTTAATTTTAGTAAGATCAGTAACATAGGTTGTTTGGTAAAGAAATTTAAATTCAATCTACTTATAAACAAACTCTAAGTAGGTTTAATTTGTATATTAAATAATTATGCATACAATTTCAAGGTTGAAAGTTACATAATAGAAAATTATTGTAGCTAACATTCTTAAAATTTCTCAGTTTTATTATATGGAATAAGAAAAAAAATGACTTAATAGGTCATCTAAAACATATATATATATACATATATATGCCTATATATATGCATACATACACAACACATACATATATAGTTCTATAATACTTGACTTGTAAATGTTTTCCAGCTTTAAAATTTTTTATTTTTGATACAATTTACTTATTTCAGGGGGCCAGTGCTAATGCCATGGGGTGTCTATTTGTGTGTAGTTTGCAGGATAACTTGTGGGAGTTCATTTTGTCTTCCTACCATGTAGATCAAGCTCAGGCCATCAGAGCCAGCTTTTTGCTCTGTTCCATGTAACACACTGTAGTAGTTTACTGTATGCTTATTCTGTTTTCCCCTCTTTTAATCTTCATCAGTAAATTGCTAGTTGTGATTGGTGATCTCTAGAGTCAACTTTAATTTTAGCCAAGACTAAATGACAACAAAAATCAAAGCCTTGGGATTTTTTTATGTTTTATGTAGCTAAGGTTCAAATTTATTTATTTATGTTTTTGGGTTTTCAAGACAGGGTTGTTCTGTGTTACAGCCTTGGCTGTCCTAGAACTAGCTCTGCAGGCCAGGCTGGCCTTGAACTCACAGAGATCCACTTGCCTCTGCCTCCCAAGTGCTGGGACTAAAGGCATACACCAACACCGCCTGGCCAGGTTCAAATGTATTATCCAAGAAAAACTAGCTAATCAAAATCCTAAAATTTGGCTGCTGAATGTGGTGGTGGCTCCCACCTTTAATCCCAGCACTCAGGAGACAGAGGCAGGCAGATCTCTGTTAGTTCCAAGGTCAGCCTGGTCTAATTACTGAGTTCAGGCTAGCCAGGGCTACACAGTCTCTAGAACATATAGATTTTAGCAAAATAATATCTCAAGCCATCCCTTCCTTGCTTCGCCCTCGGGTGTTTGAGACAGGATGTTGTTGTGTAGTCTTGGCTGGCATGGAACTCACAGAGGACCAGCTGTCTCTGTTTCGAGAGTGTTGGGATTAAAGGTGTGCCCAGCTGCAGTATGGTCTCTTAATACATCTTTCAATATAAACCAGTTGTGCAGAGTATTTTTATATGTTTAAACAAAAAGCTCCTTAGATTTGTTAAATATCAACCAATCAGTTGTCAGAAGACATTATAGCAATTATGATCTGACTTTTTAAATAATTGACATTAAATCACTCTTGTTACGACCTCTGTATGTTAAGGAGAAAATTATATTTTCAAAGTATAGGATGATTCTTATAGTTTGTCCTGGCTAGCAAAAGAGCATGGGCCTTATTTAGAATTAAGAACTAGTCATTGTGATGAGAGTTTTTAGAAGATGTGAAAGCAATTCACAGGTAATACAACTGGAATTGATCTGTGGATATGCTAAGAAGCTGTTTCCATTAGCTTTTATCCAGAGGGTGGTTTAGGAGAGTATATTGAGATTGGCAGAAGGGTTTCCTTCTGTATTTGGCTCACAAATTGTTCTGTCTGAAAATTCAGTAGATAAAAAAGAAAACAAATTACAAGTAATTCACTTTGTAACAGGTAAAGTTTAAAAAGTGTATCTAAGGGTTGCCTGTGTATCAGATGGGCTAGACTTATGAGCAGAGGAGGCCACGGTGCCTGGCTAAGGCCCTATCTTACAGCTCCTCCTCCCCATCTTTTGAGACAAGGTCTCTCTCTTTATATGTGCATGTATGTATGTATGTATGTATGTATGTATGTATGTATGTATGTGCACATGCATACATATACATATCCCTGACTGTCTTGAAACTCATTATGTAGAGCAAATTGGCCTCAAACTCACAGAGACCTGCTTCCTTAGTGTTGGATTTAAAGGTGTGCACCATCATGTCTGGCCCAGTTACATCTCCTGTAGGGTTCCAACAAGGTTTCCTTTTGTTTCTGGTGCCCAGAGAGGCCAGAAGAGGGATGGATCCCTGGAATTGGAGTTACAGCCAGTTGTAAGCCACAATTTGTGTGTTAGGAATTGAACCCTGATTCTTTGCAAGGTCAGCAAGTGCTCTTAACCACTGAGCCGTTTTACTAGCTGTTCACTATGCCTTCTTAATATGTGTTTATAATATATGTATATATAATATATGTATATATTAAATAATTAAATATAATTAAAATATCTGTATAAGAAAAATAAGACCTCCAGACACCTCATGAAACAACTCCCATCCCCACACTCACAACAGAAACACAACTGCAAAATTAAATCAAGGCCTTGAGACTGTGTCCCTAACCCTAACTTTCAGAGTTAGCAGCAGATTGTACAAAGTCAATAATTTAAAACTTCATAGCACAAGACGATGGGGGGGGTCCCTCAACTCCCCTTAAATTAGCCACTGTAGAAATTCCTGCCCTTGTGGACAGGAACCTACTCCAAGCTCAGCAATTAGGATGGGGTCTGTGATTGCACTGCCACCCTCCTGAGTCCTATACTCCAGGGGTCCGGAGAAGGTGGCTGCTTGGACTTGGAAGAAGTTAAGTTGACAAATAAACTAAGCAATAAATAACCCCAGCAAGGCAAGGGTACCTCCAGGGGGTGTCATACTATAAGAAATTCTGGCATACCTAAGGTGTTTGCTAGGGACGATAGGTGGACATGGGTGGCCCAGCTGTTGCATTGCTTATGTACAGACATGCCCAGATGAATATCATGAGACTAGAGGATGAAAGGTGGGCACTGGAGGAGTACTCCATGTCACACACAGGTGCCACCAAGATGGAGC